CCCCCCACCCCCCCTCCCCACCCACCCCCTAACCCCACACCCACACCCACACCCACACCCACCCCACCCACACCCTAAATTTTGGTTTTCAATTGAAAGTTACTCATGTTCTTTTGTTCAAAAGCTCGATAACAGTATCTTTAGAAATGTTTTTTGGATTCTGTGCTAATTTCTTGACGTCATCCACCATTTCTTTGAAACGAGTCGATTGCATGAAAGATAGTATGTTTTCTTTTAATGATTCTTCATTCATTGATTGATGACGATCGTAGACACTTTGTGAAAGATAGACAGTAACAGCGACACCTACAAGTAATGTTAAAGCTGTTGCAATAACCGTATCTAGTGCACCACCAATGATCGATCCAAGGCCAAAGAAAAATTTGAGAACGTTAGCTGCACTATAACCAGCGGCAAATGCAACCAGTACTGGTGCTAGACTTTTTAAGAATACAACGGCAAATGTTTTAGCATCTACACCGACAACACCCCACAGTTTATACAGTGAAATAACCATTGTTGTTTGAATGGTTGAGATGACAATACTGTCGACAATCGGCAGCGGAATCCAAGCAGCTCCTTAACAAAATATTTTTGATTGTGAATGAAATGGTAAGAAATGTATAAAGATGTCTAGAAAGTTGGTCATTTTTTAAAAACAACAATAGAAAATCATGCGCATCTTTTTGTTATAATTTCACTAAGTTACGTTTGTCCAAGATGATTTCCGGAATTCAATATCATTCAGTATGCAACTAACAGCAGCTATTCATATTCAATGGCTGGAGTCACTTCCTTGCTTACGCATCTTCATGGATAGCAAATATTAATCATACTCGTAGGCTTTTGTGCTCGAACCCTATCCTACGCATTCGTAAAAGAAAACTTGTACAAGAGTTATTAGCTATCTCATATCTATGTTATATTAAAAGTCTATCTTCAACTAATCAGAACTACTCGTAATCTTCATTGTTTTGCAGAATCCATTTTTTAAATGAGAATCAAATTAAAAAACAACTCGAGATAATGGACTTTTTAGAGGAAAAATGAGTACTTAGTTTGTTCCGAAAATGAAAACATTATTCGAGTCAAGATGATAAATGAAACGAGCGAAGTTTGGAACGACTGATAAAATGGAAAGACGATGTGAGATCAAATGATAGAAGAAGACATTCATAGCTATGTAACTAAACATCACCATACTTGATCTATGCTTCGTACAGAATACCAATACGATTTATTTAGTTCTCTACGTGAGATTTTTCGGTTAGTAAATTTCATTGATTTGATACCACAATTTTCTATCTACGTTTAATAATAATTTTCATGATAGCTGTGAAGCGAAAAATTTCGATTTTCCTCCTCCACATATTTTCACTCAACACAATTGCAACAAGTTATATTGATTTTTTCAAATGATAGTGAGCATTCGAGCTAAATCGTAACACTATTTTCAAAAGTTTGTAAAATGTTTCCTCAAACACCATTTTGTGGAGCATGACTGTCAGTGAGAACGGTTTTGGATTATGAATAAAAATCGCTTAAAATTGGTCCTCAGATTCGTTTCTAATATCATTATTTTATTCTAATCTAATTAAGAAATATGTTATGTTTCCTTATCCTCAACCTCTTGTATGTGAATTGGCTTAGTTAATAGTTGTCTTGCATACAAAGTATGCATACCTACCGCCGGCTGTTGCCATCGATGCAACAATAATAGCCACTGATGCTTGAATTTTTCCCAATTTGGAATGTTGTTGAAGCGCAGCGAGTTGTATCCGACCGACATCATCCAGACAACCATATGTCGCTTCAAGTAAAATGTCTAAACCAATCGGCCCATCATATTGGTCTTCATCATCAAATTGATCATTGTCTCCTAATGACATAATGATAATGCGGCGCACATCATCATGTTTCGCTTTCCATTCTAATAATCGGTCACGTTTGGACATCAATCCTACACTTTTTTGCATCCATGGAGGTAGCTCCTCACGTCGTAACTGATCGAATTGTTCCAAACATTTGGAATCATGTTGTAGTTCACATTTTCGCTTGTATAGAAAATCACATTTGTTAACTATAATAATGACTGGCTTGCCAGGAGCGAGCTTGACAAGTTCAAGCTCTACATCTTCCATAGATGACTGATAATTGAGAACAACCCACACAATAGAAGGTTGTAATTTTTTTTGTTTCAGTTGCTCCTGAATTCGTTCAACAATTCTACTCGAAATATTTTTTTCTAGACCGGGCGTATCAATCAATTCCAAAGTACGTTGTGGATTCGTGTATGAAGTAACATCTTGAGTAACAGGTCTGCCATCCGAGCCAGTCGCGATCCTTTGTCCATTAGCACCTATGGCTGCGTCTTCGCCAAAACTTACTCTCACTAATGAGCTTTTCCCGGCTTGACTACCACCAGTAACAAGAACAGAAAGTGGACGATCACTCTCTGTAATTTTTTGTAATACATTCTCACATTGTTTAGCGAGATCTTCCTGTAGCTCTTTTTCTTCTAGGTTGTCCAACACAGTATCAGGCATTGTTGGTAACGATATGCTCGCTGTTGCTATTATTAAATTATCTATTTCGACTGTTGCAGTACAATTTGAAACGGTTACTTTGAATCGTAAACTTCAATGACTTGTTGCATGAATAGCACTGCTGTTTAAATAATTCATAAAGTATGATAAAGAATCAGTGTTGATAGTGATTGTTTTCCTTCTTGGAATTTTGTTTCACTGCACCTCACTTAAGTATTTGTTTTAGGGCATAGTTACCACTCTTATCTATATTCATTTAAGGGGACCTTATCTCAAATTGTGATTTTTCGAAGTTTCAAATCTTCGATAACAGCTGCTTTCAAATTTATCAAGAATATTTTTCGTTAAAGTATTATTTTTCTTTCTCTACCTGTGAAAAGTTGACCACGGGAAAATGATGAATGTTGCTGCATAAGGTATCCTATCTCTTCTTTATTTGTGTTGACTTAGAATGAAAGCGTTTTATCCAACACGATGATATATATGAATACTTTTTGTTGATGCTTCTCTTTATTTCTTACATTGTATTATTACAGACATGTCAATAGGTGCAGATAGTATCGGTAACGATCCATTCACGATTGTTTTATTTGGTGCCTGCAATTCTGGTAAGAGTTCCTTGATTAATGCTGTCATGACGAAAGACCAATGCCCAGTCGGTCACGATGGAAAACCAACAACCATGAAACTACAGTTGATACAATCAGGTACCAAAGTTTATATTGATACTCCGGGCCTTCCCAAAAGCCCGTCAAAAATACGTAGATCCACATTCCCGCGTGATCAGCATCCGTCCATGATTTGGTTAGTAGTCAATTTTCAAGCAGCAATCGAAGATGATGAATTTGATATTCTCAATCAATTTCCAGTTGTACCATCAATAGTTATCTTGAACAAAGTCGATTTTTGCACAAAAGAAGATGTTGAAAATTTTGATAACGTGGACTATTCTACAAAGCATACAAAACTGGCAACCGTACACAAACGACTAATTGCAGAGAAAGAAGTACATAAGAACATTCAACATATTGCCATCATATCTCTGAAAGACGAGTCCGATAGCGAACGGTGTCCGATTGGTGTCGATATGCTTGAGACAATCACAAAGAAGTATACTGGACAGGAAAAAGTGAATAATGCTCCATCAGGTTGGAAACAAGGAGGTTTTTTTTCAAAGACTTTGATTTTTCTCTGTATTCAAAGGTGAAGAATCCAGCGTATCAATTGCAATTGTTGGCTATAGTTCAAGTGGAAAAAGTTCAATGATAAATACTATTTTGTCTGACAAGCCGGCAGCAATTGGTTGCGATGGGAAGCTAACTACAAAAGAATTGACGTGTTATCAGTTGCGTCAATGTAAACTGTGGGATTTCCCAGCTATAAATAAGCGCTTCGAAGAAGATCAAAAAGATATATTAACTATCGATGAAAACGTACAGCCCGATATGATTTGGTTTATCTTCAATTATAATAGTGTCGATGTTGATGATGAATATAAGCTATATGAGCTTCTTAAGATCAATAAAGATATACCTGTGATTGTAATCATCAACAAAGTGGATAAATTACGGAAAGTTCGTGACTTGTCTCAAGCGGATCTAATGGAATTTAGCCAACTACTACCATCCTCGAAATTGTCAAGCAATAAAAAGCTAACCCAATTACGTGATGGAATATATGGTGCATGGTCCAAGTTGATGAATTTGAAAGCTGTTACTGTCACTTCACTCACGAGTGGAGATGATGAAGAAGATGAAAGTAGCACACCAATAGGGATTGATGTTTTACTAGATATCACACGACAACATCTGACAAATAATGGTCAGAAGCGAACAGTTCAGATGCTGGAGCTGCCGAATTCATCGTCTGTGAGAATGATGAATAAGCAAACAGCAAGTAAGTAACACCGTAAATCTACTTCATAGGAGCCCTCACACAATTCTCATTATTATTTTTTCAGAAACTGTGTCATGGGAAAAGGTCAACAGAATTGTCGCACTTATCTATCAATTGTTTGCTTATCTTGGCACTCCAGTCAAGGGGCTCGCGGAGTTCGTGAACAATTGTAATGGATAGATGCTTCTGCTCTTTAATTAAGAGACTTGGACGAACTTTTACTGTCAATATTCTTGAAAATAAATTAAAAATATCCTGTACCTGGCAGAGGTCTCGATGATATTCACTTAAAAATAAATCACTAGCATCAAAGATGTCAAACGCATCAACTATTCTGATGGACATAGTAAAGTTGCAGAGTCATAACAATATCAATTTTTTTTGGTAATCATTGCATTGCAGATAACAAGGTCTATGAAACAATAGCTAAAATTATAGATTAGGACTGTATTAGAAAGATATTATGATGAAACTGGATTAAAATAGTGTATGA